GGGACTGCCTGTGGGGTACGGAGGGGGTGTCCCTGGGGCACTGGAGGTGCCTGCCTGGCTCTAAGGTGGCAGAGGGGCTGGAGGGGCCAGGGACGTTGAGCAGAGTCCACTGGACACAAAGCAGGGGGTCTGTGGTGACACAGGAGCTGAGGGTGGCTGGACTAGCAGAAGGCAGCAGTGGGACTGGGGAGGCATTTGGGGGTGTTGGTGGGGCACTGAGATGATGGAACACTGAGATGATGGAAGGGCTGGGGTCACCATGGAGGGCTGAGCTGTCAGGGGGCCTGCGGGGACCGTGGGACATCAGGGCATATCAGTGGGGCACTTGGGACCCTCCCTGATCCCGAAGGAGTGGAGGGGCTGGCGCACAATGTGGGGCTGAGCAGGGAGGTGCACTGCACCCTGAGCTCCCCACTCTGCCACGGAGATGACTGCTGTCTCCCCCTTGTCCACAGAACGTCCCAGGTTGGAAGCGACCTCTGAAGATCATCTGGTCCAACCTGCCGTGGGGAAGGGAGCCAGGATGAGGGTATCTCGCACCCTGTCCAGTGGCATCTTGAATCCCTCCAGCAATGGGGACTCTACCATGACCTGGAGAAGTTTTTCTGTGGGAGATTTTTTCTCACTGTAACGTGTTTCTCGGGCTGAGATGAAAACTCACTCGATGCAACTCATTTGCCCTTGTCTTCTCCATGTGGCAACTTGTGAAGCTGAACACCCTCCTGAAAACTGATTTTCTTTTACATTTCTTGGTGTTTCAGGCCAGGACCACCCAGAAAATGCTGCATTTAACTTTTGCTCATAATGAAGCGGGGGGGTTGGATGTCAAATTCAGCTGTTGCAGAGCTCTCTCACCGGGGACAAGCTTCCTCCAAAATGGCACAGAAACCACCATAGCCAAGCGCTAGTCCAGTGTCTTCCCATCTTCTCCCCACAGCTTTTCTGTAATTCCATCCTAAAAAGACAAGTTTATTTTAAAAAAAAAAAATTAAAGCTCCTTGCTTTCACCCTCAACACTCCTAGTCATGTCTGTTCATCACTATCTCAACAGCTCCAGCAGAGTTGTCCCCACCGCGATGGTAACCCTTGCAAGGTGTGCAGAACTGAGCTGGCTTTGAAGGAGCCACTGGCCAAGCCACGGTCTGTGAAGCCCAGCAGGCAACCCGGCTCACCAGGGAGACACAGAGCAGCCAAATTGCGACTCTGGGTGAGGTATGCGACTGCTGTGCCATGGGATGTGGGGCTGCTGGGTTCAGATGCCAGGACCTTTTCTTGCCCCTCTCCTGGCACCTCCTGGCTTCTGGCAAGAGGAGAAGACACACGTCCACCTCCTGCTCAGGGCTGCCAGTAGGGCGCCTGGCCCAGAGCGGGGTCTGCGCTCAGAGAGGAGCTGGGTAGAGCTACGTGGAGCTGAGATCCACCCAAGCACCCTGAGCCTTGGACATGCTCAGCCAACCAGGCATCCACACATGGGCCACAATTTTGGGGTAACTGAAGCTGCCAGCCAGCGTGTTCTTGTGCAAACAGCAGGAGCCCGAGGCTGGCATGATGCTGCCCACCAGCATCGCCACCTCTGCCCAGGGCAGGCACAGCAGGGGGGCTGCATCCAGCGAGCGGGATGTCAGCACTTGGCGCAACAAGCAGGGGGACCAGCCTGGGGGGTTGGTGACCTCCCAGGGACTGCAGGTCACTGGGAGCAACACGGGATCCCGGAGAGGTGGAGCACCTACATCTCCCACAGACAGGGAATATAAGGAGGGGAGCGCTCCTCCCAGGAGCAAGGTGCCTTGCCCACCCTCAAAAGCTGCGAGAGGGTGCACATAACCGTCTGCACATGTGCACACGCGGGTGTGAGCAGGACAACTTGCGATTACTCATGGATGGGTGCTTAGAAATTTGCTGTTGATTTTTAAAATTAACATTTCAGAAATATCTGTTACTTCTGCTGACGCTCAACGCTTGCTGGTTAATTATGTATTAATCTATAAAAGGTTTCAATCCTGATTTAATTTAAATTTCATGAACGGAGTTTTGTCCTGCAACAGCCACAACACTGGTGTAAAAAAATGTGTGTGACCAATGGTGACAGAGTGAGTTGCCAACATCGAGCCTGAGATGTTGGCCACGGAGGCAAGCAGGTTCCTCCAGGGACCTGGGCCCCTCTGCCTCTCCACCCTGAGCTCGAGGGAGAGGCTGCGAAGTCTGTACATTCACAGAAACGTAATGGACGTGGCAGGTCAACTTCCCCAAGCCTCCCTGGACTGAGAGGCCACCTCAGTGGGGGGGGAACACGAAACTTCCTCTTGCCCATGAACTGCACAAGCCCTTTCCCTGAAGAGCCAGATGATGCCGGCTGAGGGCTCAGTCCTCAGCCTCCACCTTCGGACGAAGGAATTCAGTCCTCCAGACGCAGGACTCTCTACCCTCACCTTGGTTCTCTCTCCCTCTGCCAAGCTGGAGGACAATCTTCAGGCGACCAGAGCAAAGAGAACCTGGCTCTTCCCTCTAACGCACTCCAGAAGGTCCTTGCAAAGGAGGAGGTGAGGGAGAAGAAGGGCAGGTCATTAACAGGAGCACTCAGCCCTGCATCCACAGCCCTTGTGTGTCTCCCCAGGTTCCCACACTTGCCCCTGAGGTCTCTGGCACATGTCTTGGTTACCTCTTGTTCCCGGGAGACACTTCTCTTCCACCCTCTTCCACACCCACTTGCAAACTGGCTCAAGCAATTTTTATGGGTGCACAACTCTGCAAGGTACCCTGAAAGTCCTCTGCTAAGGACTTGGCCAATAGGATACGAACATCACGTACCTGCTCATCAGCTGCAAACCCCATCTCATCGGCCAGAGCAGCTCATCAGCTTCATTCCAGCAACCCCCCAATTAGGCTCCCCTCCCAAAACAATGCCGCATGGCTGCTCAGCCAGATCTCTGTGAGCCAGCCCAAATTTAGTCACCTAAAAGACTAATTTACACCCTGAGTTCTGTTAACAGACAAAGTAAACCTGATTTTTTTGTAATTTATTTTACAACACACAAATACATCATTTTACAATGTAGTAAAAAAAAAAAAAAAAAAAGGACTTAAGAAAAGCCTCTTGGAAGACACTGTTACTTTCTGCTGTTATTTCACAGTTTGGCCATGTCCTTTGGATTAGCAGTAAGATATTATTGACTATCTGGTGGTAGGGGCATTCTGATTAGCAGCAGTGATGTATTGCAGGTATTTTTCAAAGGTGGAAGGACGTTTGCCTCACATTTTTTGGTCAAATTTCACTCTGAATAATTAGATTCTGAATGCCTAAAGTGTCAAAGGCTTTATTTAGGTAAGATATTAGCTTCTTGCCATAAAACTACAATGTAATTTTTTTGCACCGTTAAACAGCTGCCATTATCCACATGAAAGGTAGCTCTATGTTGCG